AGTCAGGCTGTGGGCGCAGAGTTATCCTTCTGGTCGGGCTGTGAGCGCTAAGTTATCCTTCTAGTCAGACTGGGCGCTGAGTTATCCTTCTAGTCAGACTTGGTGCTGAGCTATCCTTCTGGTCGGGCTGTGGGCGCTGAGTTATCCTTCTGGTCGGGCTGTGGGCGCTGAGTTATCCTTCTGGTCGGGCTGTTGGCGCTGAGTTATCTTTCTGGTCGGGCTGTGTGCGCTGAGTTATCCTTCTGGTCGGGCTGTGGGCGCTGAGTTATCCTTCTGGTCGGGCTGTGGGCGCTGAGTTATCCTTCTGGTCTGGCTGTGAGCGCTAAGTTATCCTTCTGGTCGGGCTGTGGGCGCTGAGTTATCCTTCTGGTCGGGCTGTGGGCGCTGAGTTATCCTTCTAGTCGGGCTGTGGGCGCTGAGTTATCTTTCTAGTCGGGCTGTGGGCGCTGAGTTATCCTTTTGGTCGGGCTGTGGGCGCTGAGTTATCCTTCTGGTCGGGCTGTGTACGCTGAGTTATCCTTCTAGTCAGACTGTGGGCGCTGTGTTCCAATTAAATCTATCAAATACATTATCCATCCTAAATTGTAACTATTTCGTTCACCAGACGCGGACCGTGCTAGAGGCCTAACGAGCAGTCCGGCCATCCGCAAGCTGGCCACCATCCCCTTCATGGACGTTGTCCTCCCTACCATCCTGCGCAGCATGGGCATACAACCAATGGACAACCCGGAGGACAACCTTCAGTTCCTGAGCATGATTGAAGGACACGACCGCCGTGCGCAGGAGGCGGAGGACAGGGTGGCCTCCTCAGCATCATCGTCGGACAGGCCGAAGTGTGTGGCCACCCGTCAGGGCTTGGCCTCCATGAGGGCGAAGGATCCGCTGTGGCGGACGGGGCGGATGATACCGACGATGATGGGTATGACATGGACAATGATGAAGATGACCTGGACAAAGATGAAGATGACCTGGACAATGATGAAGAGGACATGGACAATGATGAAGATGACATGGACATGGTCGGGCTGTGGTCGCTGAGTTATCCTTCTGGTCGGGCTGTGGGCGCTGAGTTATCCTTCTAGTCAGGCTGTGGACGCTGAGTTATCCTTCTGGTCGGGCTGTGCGTGCTGAGTTATCCTTCTAGTCAGGCTGTGGACGCTGACCTATCCGTCTAGTCGGGCTGTGGGCGCTGAGTTATCCTTCTGGTCTGCCTGTGGACGCTGACCTATCCGTGTTCTCAAGTTAAACAAGGAAATGCCACCAAGCAAATGAATTGGCATCTTGTTGTAGTGTTGCATTTGGGGAAAGTCTAGATTATTATTTGACAAACATTGCAGACATTTTTGAATTTTGAAATTCTATTTTATTTTAACATAACCATCACACATATGTGCAGGCTAACTAGGTACATTTACAATTGTCGTGAACATGCCTTATTTTAAAATTCATGACAAAATGAAACTATACATTCATGCAACGTTCACTAAAATGTATTCCTCTCCAGACTGTGATTAATTATTTGATTGCGATGTCATCCCCTCCAGTCTGGTCACTGTGATTGGTTGTGGGATTGTGATGTCATCCCCTCCGGACTGGTCACTGTGATTGGTTGTGGGATTGTGATGCTGTTAGGGGCACTCCTAACCTTCTAGCTCTAAAGGCCTGGTACGACCAATATAGTATTGGGTTTTGTCACTCAAGAAAACGGTGGAATAACCTAACAGCAGGACAAATGAAACACGAGACCAATCAACCAGATGAACTCTAAAACAAGTTGGCTCACATTAAATGCAGTTGAATGATATATATGATAATGGGTTAGTTTTATGGATGATAAATACACAGGCATGAAAATGGATGTAACGCAATATATAAAGAAATTTCAAGAACCCCAAAACCCTATAATACATTGATGATCAGTAAAACGTCATAAAGGGAACAGGGAAAATTCTATATAACTGATGGCTCACAAGCATGTTCATAAATCCCTGAGACCTCCAGGATCCTTGGCCAGTCCTTCAGCAAAGTACTCTTCTCTTCTTGGTATCTTGTCCGTCCTCACAGCTGAAGCACAGGTAAGGATCTGGGTTCACCAGTTCACAGCTTGCGTAACTAGTGATTAACTGACACTGCACCATGAATAAACACTTCCTTGGACTTAACACTGTGCAAGTTAACAATAGCAATCAGTTGCACTTGGTAAAAGGGTAAATTCTCAGCACAATTGAGAACAATCACAAAGGTTGCTTATGCTCCCAACCTCAGATTTCCGATTCTGGCTTAACAGGGAACCACTGAAGAACACTGCACAAGAGATCACTGGTCCTCCAGCATCACAGTCGAAGCAGTGAGTCACGAGAGATCAATGCAGTTGAAAGAACAATTACTATTGCCAATTACAAATCACTACTCATTTGTGCACTGTTAGGCAACTGAGACCAACTAAACTGGTGATCCATAAAACATGCTGAGATCACATAACCTTGCCACAATCTAGGAAACAATCTGTGCATAGGCAGTATATAATTATTGGTGATCTGAAATGAAAAGAGACAGGTTTAGGGAGAAATGCATGAGTGAAGGAATGGCAACACAAAATACACAGAGCAAAAGGCCATTCCCTCACAATACCATCCCCTCCAGACTGGTCACTGTGATTGGTTGTGGGATTGTGATGTCATCCTCTTTAGACTGGTCACTGTGATTGGTTGTGGGATTGTGATGTCATCCTCTTTAGACTGGTCACTGTGATTGGTTGTGGGACTGTGATGTCATCCCCTCCAGACTGGTCACTGTGATTGGTTGTGGGATTGTGATGTCATCCCCTCCAGTCTGGTCACTGTGATTGGTTGTGGGATTGTGATGTCATCACTCCAGACGGTCACTGTGATTGGTTGTGGGATTGTGATGCCATCATCTCCAGGGTCCAGACTGTTATTGGTTGTGTCAAGTATGCTCTGTCTTTTTATTAATTTAACCCTCCGGGGGAATTCTGACTTGTGTCTGCACTTGTCAGAAGTCCCACCTCTGAGCTCGCGGTGTCTGACTGCAGGTCTCAGTTGTGGGATTAAGTTATTATGTAGGTAGGAATCCTTACATTAACTTATTATGTAGGTAGGATTCCTTACAATAAGTTATTATGTAGGTAGGATTCCTTAAATTTCCCATCTCTGTCTCTCTTGTGCGGGTGGCTGACTACCTGTGTGAGCGACCTCTTGTTTGAATGTCTTCATTTCATTTTTCTTTTCACTTGTCCCTCCTTGTCTCTTCATCTCTTTGAAATGCTAACGCTGCTTCTTTTCAGCCAGCTTTAGCAGGCTGGACATCTGAGACCTTCCACCTTTTGTGGGTGATGAATGGTTTTTTTGTTATAAGAAACTTACTATAACTGAGACCTTCCACCTCTTGGGTGATGTTCATTTTGGCTTTTGGTGCAAGATAGCTAAATAGCTGAAGTGCTAGTAAACATTTGGCTACTAAACCAAACCATCTTGTTAATTTAATGCCCCTCTAGAAAATCCCAGCCTGATTTTCAAATTATTTGTCTGTCCAGCAGTCAGCATTCCTAGAATTCTACAATCCACATAATTTCATTGCAGTCTGCACTCTGCAGACATGGCAGACCATGAAATGGACAGTCAACTTACAAATCAGGAAACCAAGGTGAGATCTGTAGTTTATATCTTACTTGATATATGTTAAAGCAATAAAATTTTATGTTATCAATTTTATAATGATAACTAGTTCTAGTTGAGTTGTTCTAATATTATAATTATTCATCAATTCAACGTTTGAATTGTTATGGATAGTCAAAGTGGCAAAGCAGAGAGTTATTCACACTCTTCCTCAAGTTCAATTATGAGTCCTATAAGTAGACCAGCAAAGTATCATGGATACTGCATTATCATACATAAGATATTGATTTAAATCTTGAGTAACTTGAGAAATTAGAAATGAACCAATTCTGAAAAATACGTATTTAAAAAGTACTTTTTAAAGACCACACTTCTAAAGAGTCCAGAGTCCCAGTTGTTACACATGAACAATGAAGCTCTTATTTTGTTTTTAATATAAATTTTTTTATTATATAAAAAAATTTCAAATTGTTTATTCTGTCAATTGATTCGGGAATTCATTGTCTCCAACTTTATGCAAGTGTTTGAAATTTCAGATTGATTAGAGTGGATGAAGTGTGTTGAATATTGGTTATAAAATTTATAGCAGAAAGACAACAAGAAGTGAAGTTAAGTGTTGTACAAAAATCTCTAGTTTGCCACTACAATGGATACCTTGACATATTTATACAAGTTTGTGTCAATTGTATGGTAGTTTAACAATAGTTCTTCTATTTGGCTGCATGTGTGGTAGGTGATGCCGACTGGAAAGGCTTCCTATTTATATTTTCCACTTGGTTAGTTTTCATCTAAATTACAAACAAATTTTGATCTGTGGTATGTTTTTCTGATGATATGGCGTACATTGCTGTTCATCCGAAAGAACTTCCAGCACATTTAGCCTAGAAGCTAAGGGTGCTTAAATGCAGGACAGTGTTTCACTCCAAGTTTGGGGTAATTTCTTTAACTTTTTAGCCTTGACTCTCAGTAATTTTGATACAGTTGATAATTTTTTATTTATAGCCCAATATTCAAATTGGAAAAAGCTTTCTGCTACCACTATTGACTGATACTTACTAATGGTGTGTGGAGTGTGTTGACTGTAATGGAGTGTGTTGACTGTAATGGAGTGTGTTGACTGTAATGGAGTGTGTTGACTGTAATGGAGTGTGTTGACTGTATTTTATGTTGCCAGAATGTCACTGCCCTGGAGGGACTGGAGTTCAAGAAACGGAAAGTGCAAGTAAGTGTAAATTTTTTATTAATTGAATATATATATATATTATGCAACAGCTAATGTTATATTATTATGTATATTATACATGTAAGAATATATTTTATCACGGAATACACAAATACTTCAACTGCTGTATCACGGTATCCGCCTAATCGCAGGTCCGAGGACAGTAAGGATCAATAAGACAATCTTCACTTGATTCTTTACTATCCAGCTATCCTCTTGCCATGATGAAATCCTGCACATTTGGAATCCAATTAGATACATTGAATAAATTCGTGATTCTAAGAACATTTAAATGGGTAAAGTTTAAGTAATAAATTACATGAAACATAATATTCGGAATGTACTACAGCATGAAATAACGATAAATCAAAGCTACTTCAATGTTAAATGAGCTCATAGGACGAGCATTTCACAAGCCGCTACTTTAATGCAAGAATTTATTAACTGTGTTCCGAACTCAGAATGAGGACGTTAAATAAATCCCTGCACATTGTTTTCAAAATTCTCGTCGCTTGAAATCTTGGTAATAATACGCGTACGACAAGTCTTGATAACAATAAACGTGTGCCAGAATATTCTCAATGCTGATATTAGCAGACCAAGCTGAACTCAAAGGCACAAAGGTAATAAACACTGTGGTAACTAACAGCTTAGGCTAATTCAAATCAAACGTTCTTGAAGCAATCAGTTGCTTAAATATTTCTATTGCTAATAACATCAAATATCGAGTAATATCGAGTGCTATACTGGCCACAGGTTGGCCTGAGCAAGAAACTGGCCCGCTTTACCAGAATTTGCTACAAAATTACACCCTAGTCAAATACTGATTACTCACGTTTTCTTGACGACACATTAAGATGCGCTCAGTGAAACTCTTCTAAACAACATGGTACTCGACAACAGTACTCAACTAAGTTACTTTAGTGAGTTACTTTATGACGCCTGTGACGTGGTAAAGGGAACAGTGAAAATTCACGATTATTTTGCAGCACTAATAAATTAGGGCAGACACGGTTGAAACATTTGCTCGAATCAGTTTCCTATTCAGGCGTACATTCACGGGCTTTCTAGAACATTCATGTAGGGCACGCCATTCTCAACGAGCCAGGCACCAACAACCAATCACACAAGGTTTAGGCAGACATCGGTTTTAAAACTCAGGCGTCGGTTGCCTGTCTTTGGCGGGGAAACGATATCACTCAAATTTGTTTACCGACTGCTTCTCGAGCAAACTTCTATCACATTATTTATTTGAACAAACAATACAAGCTCTTGTCATTTGCAGGCACTACGATATTTAGAACAATACAATGACATTTTCAATTTGACTTCAGACAAATTCACTAAGAAGGCAGTCCGACGCTGGCGTCGGAACAAGCCTCTCATTCAACACATCTTTAAATTGATTGCTAACAAGTTATGCTACAGCATTGTCACATTCGTGCATTCACTCGACACTGATCACTCTCCTAATGACACAATTCATGACAATAATCGAGATAATCAGAATAAACACATAATCCAGATAAGTGAAAAACACGAGAACGCTTAATGGGAGAACCGCGTGTGGCTGGCGCTCGGTGAGACTGAATGGCGGCCCCGTGGCTTACTTGCTGAGCGTCACCACACTATGCGGCACCTTCTTTAGGTTAGCGTTTACATTTTATTTTGACACGTTCAAGTGAACGTGACATATTCCATAAATCGAATGGATCAAAAAATTTTATTGTGGCACTCAAAATTTTGTTAGATTATCATAGAACAGAAAAATATATAGTTCAGTACATTGCTGATGATAGACCAAAGAATAATGATAAATGATAGAATGATGATTACAAATACCAGAGTAAAGACCCTTCCTGTTGCTGTGGAAAATGAACAGAATGCAATGTTATGAATGATGACAACAAACACACTGATGAGTTTGGCATCTCAGATGAGAGTGAAATGATGGGCAGTTCAACCAGTGCAATGATAATAATGATGAATGTTGTGATAGATGATAATCTTTGCTGTATACTTGCAGAAATGAAGAGACCTTAAAAAACTGGGCTTCATTAAGAAAATGTCTTTTCGACAAATTGACTCATTCATTTTTTATGCTTATTTTTTTACTTTGAAAAGCATTAGATTTTTGATATTTATCCAAATATGCAAAAATGTACCCAGATATCAATTAATACTAAATTGTTTAACAAATTAATCCATGATTCGTACTTGAAGAATGGTGTGCGCTAGCTGTTTTTCCTAGTGCAATATCTCATTTACTGGCCTCAAATATTCAAGACATGTCTTGTTTTGTATCTTTCTGCCACATAATGTTTCATAATATCTATAAAAAGATACTAAATTCCGGGACAGAAATTTGGTCCTGTTCTCCAACTTTATGGACATTTTCAACCTTTGTATCATGTTATCTTATGGGAAATTTGAAGTCTCATCCCATTGTTCAGGTCCACTTTGAGAACATTTTTCTTAGATGCTAGAGGCCACAAAGCAAGAAATTACTGCTTAACTTGCAGAACCTAGATGCAAATGATAGGCTTCCTTTACCTGTTTCTTCCTCCCCCCTCCCAGGCGAGATCTGATGCTGCAGGCTCCTCTGCGCACTACTCTGCAGGCACTCCAGCCTACCCTTCTGCAGACACCCTGGCAGATCCTGCACCTTGCTCTTCTGCAGACACCCTGGCAGATCCTGCACCTTGCTCTTCTGCAGATTCTGTAGCAGACCCTACAGCGTACCCCTCTACAGACGCCTCAGCAGAACCCCCATCCCGACACATCCTATCACTCCCCAATGAAGTCCTCTTGGCCATCTTCTCCTTCCTCGACATAACCAACCTGCCTTCAGTCCTTGATGTCTGCTCGCGCTGGAGGGAAGTCATAACCTCAAGCCGAAGTTGGCAGACGCTGGACTTCACAGCGGTGGAAGACTCTGGCCTTCACGTGAAGGTGGCCATGGCCGTGGGACACCAGGCTCGGAGGGTGCTGGGGGCAGCGCCCCTGGGTAAGGTGGCAGAGCAGGTGCTGAGAAATTGTCCAAATCTGGTGGAACTCAGCATGCCTGATGCTATCATTGGGGTGAATATACTTGGGGACATCATCGCCATGTGTCCGATGATAGAAAGCATCAAGACATGTGTTCAAGTACCCGGTGATAACCCTGCTGATACGCCTTCTTTGATACGTGTTGTAGGCGATGTTAACTTGGACTCAGAAGAAGCTAATTATATTAGCACTGCAAGCATTGTTAACAATTTAATGTGCATTGATAGTTTGTTGTATTATAGTTTTGAAACACGAATATTCTCTGTAGATTGGTCGGTAATTCATGCATCATATCGCTACAATGCCATATTTAGCATTTTACAAGAATGTAGGGGCAGATTCAGTTTGTTGTCTCTTGAGGCTATCATTAAGAATGGTAAATTTGGCTCACCAAAGTTACGGAATACCGCTTGCAACATCAAGGATTTTATAGGAGATTTCAGTTTTGTTTTCCCAAGTGAAAAGTTCGCAAAAATGCAAGCGATGACCGACCAGACTAAAGTCATAATCAAGTACGGCTCCCCATTGCTTGAGGACGTCTAGGTCTGCTGAAGCAGACCTTCGTCTGCTTCAACAATACTAGTAAAACGGTCTTTGCAACATACCATAAGATATATTGGCTCCCTGGAGTGAAGACTTCGGCAATAATACACAAGAAAATAATTCTAAATGTGACGACTTTCTCGATGTTGTTTTCATTCCAGGCCACGCAGATTAAAACTTATGCGCGCAAGGGAAGTCAGTGATCTGTTAGTTGAGGCTCAATGGTTCCACTTCTAATAAACTATGCAATATTGATGTCTTTTATTATCTATGTAGAGTCCAATAAATGTTTTCGCCTAATGTTTACTAGTAGAAAATCCATGGTAGGCTAGATTCGCCATAAGGCTCCGTTGGGCAGAAGCCACCATCAGTTTTTGCTTCTCAGTATTTAAGCTATACTAGTTCGTTTGTACGCTAGTTCGACGTGTAAGAAAAACGACGGTATTTCTGATTTGAAAGTAGATCACCAATAGATATCCTCTGATGAGAGCAAGGCTAATGTTCCTGATCAGTTGTTTAGCATTGTGTTCACAGATAAGGACTTGATCAGTATTCCAGATATTGAGTAACACCCAGTCGACTCGAAGTTAACACGTTTTGAAATACAAGAAGAGGTTCCCAAGCGCCTGACCGCCCTAAATGCCAACAAGTCATGTGGACCAGACGGCTTCCACGATAGATTGCTCTAAGAGTTAACAACTGTCCAGGCTGCCTGTTTGACTGTATTTTTTTCCAATATATTTGAATGAAATTACTTTGCTGAACGACTAGAAAGAAGCTTAAGTGACACCATTGTTCGAGGAACCGACACCAACAGTGACGGTTATAAACTAAAAAACCGCGGTACAACTCATCAATGCGACTTTACAAACTTCTCGCTTCGAGTCACCGACATGTTGAACAGCCTTTTGATGACATCGTTGAGGCTTCTAGTATGAACGCCTTCAATAACAGACTAGATAAAGCTATGCAGGAGTTTATATTCAGACGTGACATGTCTAGAACCTTAAGAACCTGGTTAAAGTTCACCAGCTATTTAATTGAACGTCAGTTTTGGATAAATTGCTCAAGAGGCTAGTTCTTTTATATCATGTGCAGATGTTAAGAAAATCACAACAATCGGCGCCATATCGAACTTGGCCTAGTCTCCAGCGCCGACACTAGTATCCCACACTAGGGAACTTGTACCTCAAAACTTTTTTGGAGTTTAGTTTCTACAGCTGCCTATTATTTGGTACAATAATGTCAGAGAATATCTGAATTTCACCAAATGAGGGGTAGGTTAATTCAGGTGACGCGTTTCGCTCAAAACTGATAATCTTTATGATGTTGAAATGAAGCAGCTGAGAGGACGCAGTACTTTTAGGATAAATATTAAGGAGAGACTAAAATTAAGTAGTACTGTTGTAAACGAAGCACGAGTTAGGTACGTTCATGTACAGTCCAGTGTATACTGCATAGTCCAGTGTACAGTCGTTCTAGATGAGGAGTTTCAAAGGGCGTAGAGGTCTTGTTGATTGGTTAATGATTTAAATTAAAATAGCTTTAATTATTTGTAGTCTATTAAAGTCAGGTTGATGACTTAGAATCTCTGTATTCTGTACAAGTTTTTTTATGGTTTAAATTGGTATTGTTGGGTAACTTGGGTAGCTGTCTTGGTAGGGTTGTGAGGCGTCTTGGTAGGGTTGTGAGCCGCCTTGGTAGGGTTGCGAGGCGTCTTGGTAGGGTTGTGAGCCGTCTTGGTAGGGTTGTGAGGCGTCTTGGTAGGGTTGTGAGACGTCTTGGTAGGGTTGTGAGCCGTCTTGGTAGGGTTGTGAGCCGTTTTGGTAGGGTTGTGAGACGTCTTGGTAGGGTTGTGAGCCGTCTTGGTAGGGTTGTGAGCCGTTTTGGTAGGGTTGTGAGGCGTCTTGGTAGGGTTGTGAGGCGTCTTGGTAGGGTTGTTAGCCATCTTTGTAGGGTTGTGAACCGTCTTTGTAGGGTTGTGAACCGTCTTGGTAGGGTTGTGAGCCGTCTTGGTAGGGTTGTGAGCCGTCTTTGTAGGGTTGTGAGCCGTCTTTGTAGGGTTGTGAGCCGTCTTGGTAGGGTTGTGAGCCGTCTACTAGCCACCAGCGAGAATAGTGTCTGTTTCTCTAGCCACAAGCGAGAATAGTGTCTGTTTCTCTAGCCACAAGCGAGAATAGTGTCTGTTTCTCTGGACACTAACGAAAATAGTGTCTGTTTGTCTAGCCACATGCGAAAATAGTGACTGCTTGTCTAGCCAGCAGCGGAAATATTTTAAACATTTACTAAAATTCAGTATAAAACTTAGTCAAATCATGTAATTGTTGGCAAAATGCGTTTTTAGGGCGCAAGATTTTACTGTGAGTTAAAACTTTTTTATCTTCTCAACACATGAAAAATTGGTTTAGAGTTAACAGCGTGGGGAACCGTGGAGGAGCAGGGCCACGCCTTCTCCCTCATTGTGTTGAGGTCGGCCTTGCGGTTGCCACGTCGTGATTGTTGGTTGGTATAATAACATAACATACTGATCTAGGCGCTGAAGCGTAGGCCTGATGTGGCCTGTCGCCGATTCATTTCCTTTTCGTGCCTTGTTCACAGAAGATCTAAAATGGTGTCATTTGACCGGATCTTTTCATGACTGACGATAGTTTGAAGAAGCTACTAGACTTTCACCGGGTTCGATATGGTGCTAGGCATTTCAAATCTGAACATATATTTTTCCATAGCTTCATATAATCTGTTATTGATGTAGCTTTACGATGCAATGAATCCTGCACAAAAGTATACTTTAGAATTATATATTTGAATTAAATTGATTCTAACTGCGGTTGCTAGTATTGCTATTTTGTATACTATTTGAAGGTATAGCGCGTTTTCTGAAGTGCTTGAGAAGTTACCACGTTGGGATTTTCCCAATATTTTTCTCGTGCTCTTTGTGCGATTCGATAAGGTTATACTTCGAAAATTAATTAGGTCTTATCTAAATAGTGACTTTCATATCCCCATTCCTAGCGTAATTTAGAAATAGCATTGTAACTTTTTTTCGGGCGAAAATGGGCTGGGATGGCCCATAAAAAGTTAGTGCATCGTTATTAGGACGAAGTCTATTCTTTTTCTAAGTGTAGTATACATTATAACATAGCAGAATGGGAAATATTGTATACTAAAAATACTATTGTATACCAAATACACGTGACCTACTTGGTCTGATGATATGGAAATGTGCTTTTCTGTGGCTCGTCTAGACCCAGTTTGGCCCGGCCACAAAGGCGTATCAATGCTACGTTCTTTCTCGACTAGTACTGTGGGTTAGACATGAGTCACTATTTATACATGACCCACTTATTTTTAGCGTAGTAGTTATACCTCTGACACCGGCTTGACATGAGATGTGAACCACACGCTACAAAAAATAGATGAAAATTTGTTCAAATATCTATACACTTTTCGCGTTTGTGGGTCATTTTGATCTAGTTTCACACGGAATACGGGGGCATAAGTGCTACGTGCCGAAAGTGTGCCTACTAATAAGGTGATCCAGTCAGTTGCACCAGTGGGGTTCCTGAAATTCCACCCTGACTGTCTTCATGCTCCAGAGGAGAGAATTTGAAGATGTTATGTATAATAACGGGTAAAAGTTTCGTATGAGATCGAAATGCCTGGCATTAGTATTATCTTTTAATATCGATTAATATTCTGGAACTGAAATAGTTTCCAGGATAATACGATCTTTGAACATTATTGTGGAGCGATCGATTTATCCTGGTAACTTTTTCCAGTTCATTAAAATTAATCGAAATTGCAAGAGAAATCTAGTTTCAGATTTTTCGATCTTGTACGACACATGTACCTGTTCGAAGAATCAGAAACTAGACTTTTCATTTAATATCGATATTCATATTCTAGAACTGACAGTGTCAAGAAATTCGATTTATAAATTTATTATCTACCGTTGCTAAAATTACGCCCTGTCAGGCTGTGCGCGAAGAGTGGAATGCATGTAAACGTTCAATTTTCTGTCAGTTATCTTCCTAATATATAATTTGTATTATTTATTCTGTATTAGTTTCTCTGGAAGATGTAAAAAACATGTAAAGATTTCTGATTAACATTCGTATGACGCATTTTGGTGTTGGTGGAAGAGGCTAGGTATGTCAGTGTCTGAATATTAGAACTTAGTGTTAACTTTTACTATAACATTCAGCTTTCAAAAGTTTCCTGTCGATGCACGAGTTAGGGCCATATTAGTATTCTCGTCTTCGAATTATTGAAAACTTTTTGAAGTAAGAAAAATTATCTTGGATCACTTGAAAACTTGTCAAAATCAGCGAAATAGTCGATTAACACTCTTGGAAATTAGGAAAGTCTTGAATCTTTGCCGATGCTACGAATATAGTTCAATATCAGTTTTCACTTATACCGGTCTCAATACTCCACTTCGGGATCCTTGTGAAATATTTAACGAACACTCGGAGAGATAAGCCAGACATTGTCCAAAAAGCGATGCATTTATTGCCTTCGCGCGAGTCATTTTGACCTAGTTTGGCGCGGCAAAAGGGCATATCAGTGCTACGTCGGCTAGAGTGCGGAGGTATTTGAAGTGTCAATATTAGGACAATATACCCATTTATTTTTCTGGCTGCTAATTTCATAGTTTTCCCTCAGTGTTAACAGCTAAACTAAAATATTTCGTTACAAATAGAACACGAATTATTCGCATATACAAAAACATTGAAGATGGCGGCTCATCTAGCAGCTCTTCTCGTAATTTCGTCGCTTCTTAATGGTAAGCTCATCCATTGACGGCTGTTGCCTTGCTATACTCGGTCCATTGACGGCTGTTGCCTTACTATACTCGATCCATTGACGGCTGTTGCCTTACTATACTCGATCTATTGACGGCTGTTGCCTTGCTATACTCGGTCCATTGACGGCTGTTGCCTTGCTATACTCGGTCCATTGACGGCTGTTGCCGTGCTATACTCGGTCCATTGACGGCTNCCTTTTCATACTTGACCGTATAACTTTTTCCTAGTTCAAGCTAGATATTTTTAATAGAGCACAATTAAATTCCGAATTGCACCATTAACCATTTTAATAACGTAATAAAACTTGTAACTATAATCCCTACTTCTAATTACTAATACAAAACTAATATTTAAAGTAAATCCTATGAACATTACCATACTTAAGGTTTCGGGGCTGCGGACACCTCCACCCTCCCCCCCGGGGCCCCCGACCGGACATACGTAGCCTACGCGGCGGACGGTCTGGCCATCGTGGGGGCAGCAGCCCGAGAACCTGTCGGGCCTCCTAGCAGGGCGGCTTTTGTGGCCAACATCACTGCGAATACCACGGATACAACGGTGGGTGAGACATCCAGGTAATAAAGGCCATTTTCCACTATAGTCATACCTTTTCCACTATGAGACTCAGCGCGACTGACGCCTGAGAAACTGGCTTTTTCAGTCCGGACTGAGTCAGTCCAGACCATCGAGACTGGCGCAACGGCGAGTCAAGCGCTGTTCATTTAGACTACTGATTGAGCCGCTCGTTGCGGTAGTGCCGTTCTGACTCCCGTTCAAGTAGGTTGTGTGTTGCTGTCGCTCCAATATACGTACTGAAATGCCACGCGTAGAAATGGAGTTCCCAGGTAGAATTCGGTCTTGATCCCAGCACATGCGCGTAGTGGAAACGCGCACGCCTGTTTGGAGGCCCAACCACGAAGCTTATTGGTCTAATGCCCGTCTCAATCCTTCCTTACTAGAATAGAAGTTCTGGCACTGGAGAAATAGGCCCATGGCCTGTTGCCGATTCGTTAACTTTTCGTGACTTGATTCGCAAGGGATCCGGCCTTTGTAACCCGATCTTTCCATGACTGACGATTGATTGAGATAGCTGCTGGACTTATTCCCTGGTCCGTAATTTGCTAGGCATTTATAGGTCTCAGACCAGTCGCTATCCTTTCGAATCATTATCATAGTGGAAAAGGGCAATAAAGTTTCAACTGTACTAAGCGAGCGTCTGTTCATGCCGGACGCTTTCCAATACAAAAGCGTTTTAGTCGATCACTAGACTGAGCCAACGTCGTACAATGTATTTTCGTACATCGGAATAAAATTTAGCAACTGCTCTTTTCACTATGCAATATAGGTTTGCAGACCATCTCTTCAGGATAATGATATTCAAGGTTTACGTCATTTAGACTTATCGGCATACAAAAAATTTCGCATTTAGATTATAAATTAGATTGATTTAATCAATTATTTAGCTAAAAAATTTCGTCTTATAGACTTATCAGCTTTATAAATATTAGGTTATATTATTTTCCTTATATCTATATATATTCCGTAACCTTAAATTCTATTACACGATTTTTTTTCTCGCAGGCTCTAACTGCTCCGGCGACCGTAGCCGAACTCTTCAACAAATTCCTGTACAACCCTGCGAGCGAATATATCAGCAACCTAACCGCAAAGTTCCCGCAGTCTTCAATATATAACATTTTACTCGAACACCAATACATTAATTTAAACAACTTCTGGAACAGCACCGAGGGCGGAGTCTTAAGACGCCTGGCGTCCGTAGTGCAGCTACCAACTGATAAACTGCAGGATATAGAGGTCTTCATTACGACCACAGCACAGGATATACCCAGGGTCCTGGAAGGAGCGGGACAGAATGTGAACAAGTTTGTCGAGGAACTAGGCGCTAACCTTATGCCCGATACTATGGGGAATCTGATGCATGCAATGCCATGGATGCATTAAGAAACTAACGAATTTTCCTAATTTTTTCGGCCAAAACTCTTCAGTTCTTATCGATCGGTTTCCTTTTTATCTCGTGCTTGAAGCCTACCTACAGAAAAGGCTCCAGTCGTTGGCTGAAGTGAACGAATGAAAAATAAAAATTGTTTATCAAGGGCTCATTGGTATTTAAAACGAAATGTTAATGAGATTTGAAACTCCGGCTGAAATGAATTTTATCGCAAGGTATCCTTTTTAGCTCGTGTTTGAATCCTGCCTAAAAAATGTTCCGTTATTTGGCTAAGTGAACGAATGCAACAGTTTCCACTTAGGCTTATTAGTATTTCGAAGGAAACGTTAATGCGATTTGAAACTTCAGAAGTTTATCCATCTAATAAATTTGTCAAGTTGGGTTCTCAATTTCTGAGCTTTTGTTAGAAGAATAGACTATTTTATTAAAGTTCATGCTTCTTACAAAGATTGCAGAAGTTTTTATATTACAGCCAGAATAATCAATAAAATATATTTTAATCTTCCGTCTTCATTCCTAATATGAGTTTAATACGAACGATTGCTCACCACGCATGTATAAGAAGTTCCATTACATGCAACCCTTTTTGATAAGATTTATCTTGCAACCCTTCTTTCATCAAGAGTAAGAATGATTTCAAACTTTCACTTCAATTCTAACCTTGGTAATGGATTGATCAATTGTAGCTAAATTTGACTACGGCCGAGATAAAGACCGAGCCATGACACTGCATCTTGCAGTTGCGCGGAACAGTCAAATGACTAACGAAGTTATTAGTTTATTGGGCAATTTTAGACCAAGTGCTTCGTACATTAATGTCGCCAGCCTTCTAGAGAAACTATCTGTTCTATCAATAAATTTGATGAACACCTTACCTTCTGTGAGGTTATTGAACATTATAACGTCCTACTTTCTGTAGGGTGATTTAACAACCCATTACAGATTGTTGGGTCTTATCAGCACACAATTCGGCTACAATTGATTAGTCAATTATCAAGGTTAGAATCGAAATGAAGGTTTGAAATTCTATTTCAGTCTTTAGAAAAGAAAGGTTCCAAGATGAATCTCATCGAGACTAGCGTACCTATAACACCCTATTTCACCCTACAGATCGTGTGGTGTAAATTAATACGCGGTCACATACCGCCTGACCAGTAATATTCGGGTTATATATTCAAGTTCCTAAACTTTATTTTATACATTAATCCCTTAGGTCTTAAGTAACGCAAACGGTTCAGCGTTTCGACGCTATAATCTTAAATAAACGAGAAAATGTGAAGGTACACAACTTTTTTGATGTCGCGCAGCAACGAACTCCATAGAAATTTTCTCATACGGAGATAGGAAAGTTAAGCCTCAACATAAACGTTTAGTAAAGTGGCACCGGAATAAGGATACGAACCGGGTTCAGATACAACTGATAACCGTCGTCCAGTTTTGCGTATAATTTTGATGGTTGAAAAACGTATATAAAAAATAAAATTCATATTGATTCGAAGAATGAAAAACAACAATAAAAATAAAATTAATATTGATTAAGAGAACAGGCTACTGACAAGGGTAGGAATTCGAGTAGCATTGATGTCATCCATAAGAGAACATGTACAGCCTTCTTGAGAGCAGCCTTCTTGAGGGCAGCCTTCTTGAGAGCAGCATTCTTGAGGGCAGCCTTCTTGAGGACAGCCTTCTTGAGGGCAGCTTTCTTGAGGGCAGCCTTCTTGAGGGCAGCCTTCTTGAGGGCAGCCTTCTTGAGGGCAGCCTTCTTGAGGGCAGCCTTCTTGAGG